CGCGCCACGAGGGCGCAGGTGGCGCCCGTGCGCGCGCTGTGGGTCGAGCGCGCCGCGACTGTCATCGTCGAGACGAGCACGGAGGAGGCGTACGACTCGTACATAGACTTGGAGGCCATGCCCAAGTGGTACGTGAGCGCGATGCGTCTTGCTGGCCGGCGCGCGGGAGCGCGTGCGCGGAGTTGGCGTGGGCGCGTTTTCTAACGAACATGTTGCGATGTTTTGGTGCGCGGGTTTTAGGTCGCCATGGCTCAGGAGCGTCACCGTGGATAGAGTCGATCCGGATGTGTCGCTCTGGACGCTCGCGGCGCGCGGGGTGGAGATATCGTGGAAAGCGAGTACGTATGCTGCATTTGCTGTGTCGGAATGGAAGCGCGTTGCGTGGGCGAGCGATGGGTGCTAACCGTGCAATATTCCCGTCTTGCTCACACAGGAAACCTGGAAGTCCGCCGCGGGGAAATCATTTCGTGGAAGAGCCTGAGCGGCCTCCCGAACCGGGGGAAGGTGCTCTTCCGACCGGTTGACAACTCGTCGACGAGGAGTAGCATCACGCTCGCTATTGAGTTCGACGTACCACCCGCCATTGCCAGGGCGGTGCAAAACGACTTCATCGGGCGCTTCGTGGAGGATACGCTTCTTGCAGACTTGCAGCGCTTCCGGAAAGTTGTGCTGTCAGAATGTAGACGCGCTAGAAAGAATAGAGCAACGGCAAAAGAGCACTAGCGCTCATGCACCGGAATTTTTGCGCGGGTATCAACGAAATGTCCGGTGTAGCTCATCCATACAATTCCATATTAGAATTTCATATTACAGTACCTGGGTACAGCTGGAACAACTTTGCGGGCAAACGCGCATAGCGTCATTCTATCTACGAGTCGGGATTTGACCAGGGCTGCTGCTCCCCATTCTACGTCGTCCCCATTCTACGCCGTTGACAGCATCAGCTTGCACCCTGCGCCGTTCCGGGCACATCGCCGTGGCATGATCCACGTTTAATGAGCTTTCTCCGTGCAGCATCGCTTAACAAAAGGCTAATGAACAAAACCTTCATGCCGTCCACCTCCCGTCTTAGCATGTCGACATCCGCGTCAGACGTCCTCGTCGGCAAAGATGAAACGCAGGCCCAGTTAATGTCCGAGGAGATAATCCTGGTGAGTCCCGCCGACGCCGTGATCGGCAAAATGTCCAAAAAGGACTCGCATCTCGTGTCCAACAACCTGCCCTTGCACCGCGCCTTCTCCCTCTTCCTCTTCGACTCGGCCGGCCGCATGCTGCTGCAGCGCCGCGCCGCGGAGAAGGTCACCTTTCCCTCATACTGGACCAACACCGTGTGCTCGCATCCGCTACATAATGCGGCAGAGCTCGGGGAAGAGGACGGCGATGACTCTGTTGTCGGGGCGAAGCGCGCGGCAATTCGGAAGCTGGGCCATGAGCTGGGAGTGAAGGAAGGCTCGCTTGGGATTGCTGATTTAACCTTTATGACGCGCGTGCATTATCGCGCGGAGAATGGGGACGGTGTGTGGGGGGAGCATGAGGTCGATTACGTCTTTGTCGCCCAGCGAGACGTGGAATTGCGTCCGGAACCCAATGAGGTCAGTGATGTTCGCTATGTGGATCAGAAGGAGCTCAAGGAGCTGTTTGCGGAAGCGGAGAAGTCGGAGGGGACGCTCCTGACACCCTGGTTTCAGCACATCGTCAACGGGTTTGGGTGGCCGTGGTGGGATAGTTTGCTAGAGAAGGGACCACCGGGGTTGGAAGGCTTGCGGGATCCACATACCGTCCATCACATGGGAGATTGCGGAGTACATTGCTCGCTACCACACGACACGTAGCAAGGGAAGGGCGGGCCCATGCGTCAAATTTGGATGATGCATAAAACCGCACTTCGCACAAGCTCGACAAACGTCAATCGCGATAGGGAGGAAGAAGAATCAAATGAGTTGAGATGCGTCTCCTCAAAAGTCACCCGCCACCTTCCAATTTACAATACTGCGATCGCCGTCACTGTTTAGAGTACATATCATCTATCCTGAAAAAGCTTCAACTGCTGCTGTAGTAGAGGACTGCCTTGTCTCCCTGAGATTTGCCAGCAAGTCCCCAATATTCTCTTTCCAAATATTAATTCTCTCCGACAGCGGCTGCCACTCCTCCCTTGTGAACATTCTCTGCGTGGAGCGATAGATGGAAACGGAGGATGTGAGCTGGTTAATCTTGGCGTCAACCAAGCCCGAGCCAATAGCGCGAATAACCCAATCCTCCACCTCGTCCTCTGAGATTTGCAGCGCCTTCGCAATCATGCCGTAGGTGAGATCCTGCGAGTCGATGCCCAGCGACGCAAATGTTAGCAAGCGCATCTTCTTCTCCGCGACGGCAACGTCAATCTCATACTTTGCAAGTAGGGCCTCATTCTTTGCGCGAAAGTCAGTAAACACGGCAAGGTCATGGCGGACAAATATGCTGATGAGCTCGAACAAAAGCTTGTGATCGGCTTGCAGTCTCCCGAAGCGCTTGACGGCGTCAAGTTCTAGCAGGGTATCAAAGCGGTACAGTTTCTCCAGACGCACGGCCTGCACGATAACATCGATGGTGGCGTCCTCAACGGACAGGAACTCCTCCTCCGCGGCGCCGTTGTAAAGCTCGAGATGCTTGACGTTAAAAGCAAACGCCTGCTCCATGCGGTGATCCGAGCGTAGAGCCTCGTAGGAGACCTTGTACATGAGGCGCTTCTCCGGCACGTCGCGGTCCCACTGACGCATGAAGGCGTCGATCTTCGGCAGGACGGTGTCGACGATCTTGGAGACCATGCGGATTTTTGTGGCGAGCGAAATGGTGGAGACAAGCAGAGAAAAGCGCTCGTCGACGTTGTCCTCGCTGACGGAGTTGTACAGCAGGGCCATGCACTTGAGTCTCAGCTGATCGCGCGGGTCCTGGCTCTTACCGCCCTCCGGCACGGGCTTCACCCCTTTGCAGAGGCCGTCGCTAATCTTGTGCACGAGCTGCGAGTTCATGGCGCACTCCTTCTTCAGCCACATGAGGACGACCTGCATGCAGCCCTCGAGCGAGTCGAAGTCATCGATGGGCAGATCTAGGGCGACGAGGAAGGCGTCGGCGAGGGCGTCGGTGGCGGAGAGGGCGTCGGCACCGGAGGCGACGGCTTTGTCGATGCGGGCGGTCAGCCCCTCGGTGGAAGTCTTGCTTTCGAGGTACTCGGCGGCCAGGAGCAACTCGCGGCAGGAGCTCGCTTTCTCTTCAGCCGAGCTCGGGTCGACGGGGGCGAGCTCTGTGGGGGGGGGGGATGAGTTGAGGAGGGCTTGCTGCATAGTGACCATGGCGGAACGGGCGGAGGAAGAGAGGGACGAAGGCAATGGGTGGCAAAGGGACCGGCGAGGAGGAGAAGAGGAGGGCGTCTGCGCGGGGGGTTGGGTGGGACGACGTCGACGCGCGTCGATCAAGCACATCGCGGACACAGTTGAACGCGCTACACGTCTTCCACGTGGATTCGTGGACACGATGGACAAGGGGACACGTCTGCTACGTGGATCCCGATGCGAAATCCGCTCAGACGACTCACTCGCGCAAAGATGCGGAGGAGACCTCGCGGGGTGGCACAGGGGCGGCGCCGCCCAATGAGAGTTGCGCCGCCCGCATTCCGCCCTAACATTGCCCTCACAAATCCGCGCCACCCCCACGCCGCACCTGCCCATCCATCCCCATTCATTCCGCTCTACCACCCTAACCCCGCCGCGTCGCACCCACTCCCACCACCCCCCGTCCACCCCCCCCGGGCCGAAAACGGGCCGGTCCGGACCCGTCCGCGCGGGGGCACGCGGG